AATATAAAGTCGACGCCGGACGTTTCGGTCTATTTAAGACCATCTTCATGGACATTTTCATTTAAACATAATTAACATAAGAACATATAAAAATTTAACACAAAAGACGATGGACATAAGAGCACAACTAATCCAAACAGATAACTGAAATTTTTATATAAAATCAGCGTTCCGTTTAAATATATTTGCTTATATATATATATATATATATATATATATATATATATATATATATAGAGAGAGAGAGAGAGAGAGAGAGAGAGAGATGAGAATGAGAATGAGAGAGAGAGGAGAGAGATCGATATAATCAAACTTTGATACACATAGAAATAGAAATAGAAGTGATATATAATTATAGATAGATAGATATGATCAAACTTTTATATATATATATATATATATATATATATATATATAGCGAGAAAGAGAGAGTGAGAGATATAGGTAGACAGATAGTTATGATCAAAATTCGATCGATATAGTAATAGAAGTGATATATGTATTTTTGTGTGTGTATGTGTGTGTGTGTGAACAGACTGAGATATATAGATAGATAGATAGATATATAGATAGGTAGACAGATATGAAGAGACTTAGATGAATACATAGATAAATAATGAACTGATAGATAGATAGATAGATAGATAGATAGATCTCATCTGACTCTTCTCTCATTCAGTGCTGGTGTTAATAAAATATTGTTCAATGTCTAATAACGGAGCTAAAATTTATATTACTAATAAATATACATTTTTTCCTCACCGTTGATACAATTCTTGGTTTCATGACGTAACAATATTGCATTGTGCCCGAAACTCAGCGTTATGCCACCGGCGAAGAACAAAAAGTACATTTCGTATTATATATAATGGTCAGCACGACTAACGTTTACCGGGCCCACGGTCCTGGGGAGTGGGGATGGTAGACAAAGCCTTGAATAAAACAGTTGACTAAATGGAATAGATAAACATACGCGTGGTGCTAAGAATTACGATGACAAAGAATGAATTCAAAGACAACTTGAGAATAACATCCAATAAGTTAAATAAAATAATTTCGCCTATTTGATCCGCCTTTTATAAGCAATTTTATTCAGCCTAATTACAATTAACGGTAGATAATGTTAGAACATTTGTTCAATTATGCTGATCAATTGTTCAACGAGGCTTGAGGTGTACTTGTTAAAATATTTTGATAAGATTCCATCACTATTTTAGTCAAGTAGGCTTATTTAATTTCGTCAATTATTTTATTCAAGACATTCTCCACACGCCATGACTGTGTGCCCAGTAAACTAGAGTCAAATCGAAATTTTTTAAATACTCATCGTGTTCATAAGCAACTATGCTCTGAGGAAAAACTAGAAGCAGCAGAAATGTCGTTTTACGAAAGAATATTGAAAATTCCACGGACGGAGAGTGTAATCAACAAAGAATCCTTAAAGAAAACAGCAGAACATTTCGGCATGGTGTAATGGTTAACAAGCTTGTCTCGCTCGATCAATTGCGACTGGGTAATGAATAAAATCCTCACTGGGTCCTCCACACTTTCGACCTTGTGCCACATCTCAGCTACGCTTAGATAACCATTTTGGTCACTTCGACGTGGTGGAATGGTTAGCAGGCTTGTCACGCCAAATCAATTACGACTGAGTAGTGAGTTCGATCCTTACCGGGTGCCCAATAGTTTCGGCCTTGTGCCACATCTAAACTATCTATGCTTAGAAAATCACCTTAAAGATAATAGCAACAGAAAGAACACATATTCAAAATTAGGGAAATACGGCTGAAATTCTTTATACACTTAATAAGGAAGAAGGGAAAATTTAACCCTCGCAGAATATATTTGATAAGCAAGAGAGATAGAGGGAAGATGGCGATCTTGTGTGAATGGATAGCGAAACAGGAGACGGGAACCTTTGCAAAGGGAGAAAAACTGCCCAGAGTAACAAGAGATAGATAATTGGGGAGATTCATGATATGCCTATGTCCTGAAGGGACGCGTCATAGAGAAGAAGTACTTAAATTTTAAACAACTCCATTATCAATGTTATAGTGGCTTAAGAAAATCCGAGTAATCTTATTAAAAAAAAAGAAACAAAAAAAACCGTAAAATTAAACAAAAGGAATTACTAAATATATTATTTTAAACTGTATTTAACAAATGTACCAATTCTACTAGTTCAGTCCAGTAGACGGAAATAAATAAATATGTATAGCTGTCCACTCATATTCAAGGATACCCATCTACTAGGGCGGCTAGACAATCCCTATTGCAAACACTTGCTCAGGCACATTTGTGTTTGTTCAACACCCACAGCCCATCTTTGGTTTATACTGCAACTAAGTTGAACAGACCTTAGTTACAGTTTCTGGGAAAGAGCGTTTTATCTAGCATGATCAACCATTTGAACAACGCCAGCACGCTCAAGCCCTCGGCCACGATGACCGTCTACCCAATTTCACTCAAAAGGTTCGGGTCAACTCTTTGGTATGGTTTTCAGGCACTTTCCAAAGTGCGATAACATCAGAAAATCCCCTTCTTGACAAATCGACCATGGTGAGATTCGAACCCGAGTCTCATGGTCAGAATGCGAGCGTTCTAACCACTCGGCCATATGTGGTATTGTACGAGCGTAAAAAATGGCAAGAAGTGAAGGTTTTGAGGTTAGGCAAATAAGATAACGGCTAACTTTAGATTTGCCATTTTTTCTGTTAATTAAATTTAAAAAAAAAAAAAAATCACCCCAAACAAAGCGATGATGCCACTAAGACGCAATTGGCTACTGGGACTGAAAGAGAATGAAAAGACTTTAGAAGGAGCCGGAAAATCAATCCTGAACATGGAAAAAGGGATAAATCTCTACTTATGTTAGGGGACCTTACCCATAATAATATAATGGACTATTCCATACGTAATAAATACTTCGCCTCAAGAGGAAGCAGGGAGTTCAGTCCGAAGTCGGGCGACCGGCTGACCGGTTGAACTCTCTGCCTTCGGGCGGGGAGGAACCCGAACGAGACTACGCCGAAGGGCGGAGTCTCTTTCAAGGAGGTAAACCGACCCTGGACCCGTTTATACGGGTTCAAAGGGCATATTTTTGAGGTTAGGCAGATAAGATAACGGCTAACTTTAGATTTGCCATTTTTGCTGTTAATTAAATTAAAAAAATCAGTGTCACCCCATGATTTTCAGGCTCTTTCCAAGGGTGCCGCACACAGAGATCCTGTCCGATAACATCGGGAAGACCATGGTGAGATTCGAACGCGGGTCTTGTAGTCGGAATGTGAACATTCTAATCACTCTGCAACGTGCCCATAAAATAAATATACTGTTTAATAAATAAACGAGGCGTCTACTCAAATATGAGTATCCACTAAAATAACGTCTAAGTAATAATAAATAGTACTCTGAATTATAATAGTTCAAATCTTTAATATCTGCTTTTCTGCCACAAATGCAAAAAAGGGAATAATGTTGGAAAAACAGGGACGGAATTTCGACTTCAGTTGAATAACCATAAAAAAAAAATCATTAGGGACAATAACAACAATTATACCGTCGCTGCATACTACAACCAACCATTTCATAGCGTTGATGACATCAGATACGTGATTTTAGCATCTTCATTCAACAGCCGAGAAGAA